AATCAACAAAAAGGATCGATCCTCCCACATAGGGGATCGATCACCTAAGCATAAGATCGATCAGGTATGCTACTTGATTGATGATCGATCAGGTAGCTGTTTTTACACACAAAAATGGACTTTTCTATCATTGACCTAAGTAATCCCGTATATGAAGGGATCAATCCCTTGATGTCCAAAAAGCCCCAACAACTATTTTTTTATCTGAAATTTTACATGTTTGACGTATTAAATGCAAGCAACAGTTGTCTCTTCCTTTTTACATATAAATGAAGGCTTTCACTATAAATTAAGAGTATGAAAAGCTAAGAGAACTTATTGCCTCTACGAATAATCTTTTTCAAGCATTGAAACTAGTTTAAAGAGAGAAAAATGAAAAAAATCCCTTATTGTATTAGTTTTTCTCTTAATCTTCTTGTCAATATTGTTTTGTACTTTAAGTTAGCAAACACCCAACCTTAAAAAGGTTCTTTAAGTTTGCAAAACACTATAAAAATTTTGTATTGTGAGATTGTGAGCTTAAGGGGAGGATAACCCTTAAGAATTTGTGGTGTTGATTATGTAAAGCTTTGAAACGCTAAGTTGTAACTTTCAATAGACAATGGATTGAATTCTTTGGCAAGTGAGGCTAAGGGAAAGGACATAGGTGCCTAAAGGAACGACCGAACCTCTATAAATCTTGGTGTCTAATTCTCTATTTCTATCTATTGTTTTTAAGATTGTTAGTTTACTTTCATTTATTTAGTTCATTTGCTTAGAAAAATTATTTTGCAAAATTTGTGCTTATTAGGTGTTGATTTTTGAAAATTTTATTATCAACCAATTCACTCCCCCTCTTGGTTTATTTCAAGTCTTTAAGCTAACAGAATATATAGAAATACCACTAATAAAAAATCACAAACATATATGTGACTTTGATTTTCGACCTAAAATCAAGAAAATGAAAATTAAATCAATTAGTAAAACACACTGGTTATATAAAATATTAAAAGAAAATTTTTGTGAAAAACCATTAAAATTGTGGCTTGGAAGTCCTAGTTTTTGTAGTTTAAAAATTCTTGATTCAAAGAAATAATTAGAGTAAAACTAATAATCTATATTAAACAAAATATAAATGAATTCGATATACAAATTAATGAACTTTTACAAAAAAGACTTATAGAACCTACTATTAGTCCACATTCAAGTCCAACATTTATGGGAAGAAATTATACTAAATAAAAAAGAGAAAAGCTAGAATGATAATCAACTATAAGTAGCTTAACCAAAATCTAATATTTTATGGTTACTTTATTGTTAGAAAAGATGTGTTAATAAATTTAGCAAAAAATACTAAATATTTTAGTAAATTTGATTGTAAATCAGGATTTTGGTAAATAACGTTAACTGAAGAGTCAAAACCTTTAATAGCTTTTAGTGCCCCAAAAGGCCATTATTAGTGGAAAGTCATGACCTTTGGACTTTGTAATGCTCTACAAAATTTTCAAAGATGGATGGATACCATTTTTGGGAAATATAAAGATTTTTGTGTGGTATATATTAATGATATACTTATATTTTTTGAAACATTAAATGAGCATATGAAACATTTAAATTTTATAGCTCAAAAATTTATAAAACACGGTATAATATTAAGCCCTAAAAAGATAGAGTTTGAAAAAACTAATATATAATTCTTAGGATTAAATTTATCTTTAGATGATTTTACTTTACAAGATCATATTATAGTAAAAATCAAAAAAATTCCAAAACAATTGAAAGATAAAAAATAACTTTAACATTTTCTAGGTTTTCGTAATCATAAAAGGTAATTCATTAAAAATCTTTCTAAAAAAGAGAAAGTTTTACAAGAAAAAACTAAAAAAGGATACACATTTTTCTTGGACAAAAGATGTCTTTGATATTATTAAACAAGTTAAATCAAATCTTAAATTTATACCTAAAGTATATCTTTCAAAACCAGAAGAATTACTTATTCTTAAAATAGATGCATCAGGCTAACATTGGGGATGTGTACTTAAATCAAAGGTACTTAATTAAAAATTAATTTGTGGCTATAATTCAAAAAAATTTAAACCTAATGAAATAAAATATATTATTTTTGAAAAAGAATTACTAACAATAAAAAATGTTGTAACTGTATTTCATATTTACATAGTATATGAAAACTTTATTATTGCAATTGATAATTAGACAGTTAAAGATTTTTTAAAAAATAAAAAATAAAAAACTAATCCTAGAAAGATTAGATGGTATAACTTTTTATGCTAATATAATTTTTATATTGAATTTATTAAAGGATCTAACAATTTTCTTGTTGATTTTTTAAGTAGACTCAATGGATCTAGGTAAAAAAACCTCTTAAATAAATTGGTTAATGGACTACAATTAAAAAGAAGCAACCCAAACAAAATTTTTCTTTTTCATAGCTTAATCCTAATCAAGGATTAAGATTTCAATCGTTTAACCAACCATTAGGTTCATATCTTAACGAAGATATTTCTTTTATCCCCAACCATACATGAAAATGCCAAGAATTCCATCACAACCAATAATAGAACCCTATAAACTATCTCAAGTTTCTCATATCCAAACTAATGGACTCCAATATCATATTATAAAATTCTTCATAAAACAAAAAATTTGTTGAAACCACAATAAAATTTTCTAGAAATAAAAAAATTTTATAACTCAAGATTACCCCATGAGTTATATAATCTCATAAATGAAATCTGGAAAACCTAACTTTAAGGTAGTAAATCAGCTTTAAAAAAAAACATAACTAAGCTTGTGAAAGGATTAATCAAATAGGTTAATAAATTCCAAACTTTTCAAAATCTTATTTTAAATAGTTTAACTTTAAAAGTTGAGAGGAATTACAAATTTTTCAACTTAATGAAAAAGAATATTCCCTTGAAGAGATAAGTAATCTTTTAAATATTTGTGATTTCCTCATAGAAGAAAAAACCATTTCTTCTTCTCTTTTAAAAATTAAAAAAAAATTTATATGAAAATGCTAATAAAGTCTTACCCAACGAACTTCTTAATAGAATAAAAAAATTCAATAAGAGATGAAATAGATCATCTCCTTTATGAAAAATTTCATGAATATTTTTCTTTTATATATTTAGAAAATAATAAAATTTCAGGAGGATTTCCTAAAATTAAATTTAAATTAGATCATAACCATTATGATATAATCAGTATCAAAATGAGTTTTGTATGTATAATTACTTTTCAAAATTTATCTTTTCATAAGGCGTTAACCTACCTTTATTAAATAAAATTTTTTTGATTTTGTTAAAAATGATGAATATTTTTCTTATGTGTATATTAAAATAACTAGTTTAATAGGACTCTTTCGAAAGATTTTTTCAACTTTATCAAATCTGAGAAGTCAAAAAATTGCTCTATGAATCAAATTTATTAGCACCTAATGAAAATAAAGAAAATATAAAATTTACTGTTTTTGCAATTTAATAAACCAAATTTATATAGTTTTCAAGCCGGAATTACCATGATAGAAAAAGTAAAAAAATTACTAAATGAAATCCCACCAAATTCACAGACTCATTATGTCACTGCTACAACAGATGATCAAAAAAATTTATGATGAAAATAATCTAGAGCTAAAACCTAAAGCGATCGATTTCTAAAAAAGTTATATAGAATAAAAGATTTAGATTATCCTCTTTTTTTACTATTTTAGTATAAAAAAAGATGAAAATAATAAAACAAGTAAAAAAATAACTTTACCAATATCTTTTAATCCAAAAAATGAAGAATCTATAAATTTAGATAATCAATAAAATAGATAAAGAAGATAGCAAGTTAATATTTGCTACTAAAAAGGTATATCTTCATCATTATTGTCAAAGTTACTTTTATTATTGTCATCTTTTGTAGTTTTCAAAAGGTTGGTTACTTACTCTAATAAATAGCCATTGAAAAATATATTATAAATAGGGACGGGAAGTATGACTAAGGAGGCTCTCACCCCTTTCTTTCCTTGATCATTTTCCTTCTCTTCTCTATTTCTTTCATCCTCTGATATCTCTTTCACCTTCCTCTTCTAAAACTTTGTATATTTCTTTATATTTCTTTCAAATTGAACTCAATAACAAAAAGGCCAAACCAAATTATTTCGAACATAAAAATTCACGATTAATTTTACTCATTTTGCACCTCAAATCTTGACCAAGTTCTAATCGGATTCTTCTTTGAACACTTAAACTGAAGCCGCGCCATTTTCTTGTCATGTTTGGGCTTTTTTGTGGTACAAAGGCAGCAAAAATCTAAATTCTAAAACGCACACTTCTTTTTTATTGTACGAAGAATTAAATTTTAAATCGTCTTTATATTTATTTTTAATTTTTAATCATTTTTTCTTAACTTTTAATCATTGTTACTTTATTTAATTTGTTATTAGTAAATTTTTATCAAAATTCATGTGTATTGTTTATTTTTATTTTATACAAAAATTGAAAAATAAAATAATACTTTAAGTAAAATTAATTACATTTTAATTTTAAAATAGCACTCTTATTTATAATAATATTTTTTATGGGATTATAATAAATTACATTGAAGCATAAACTTATTTTTAAGATAATATTTAATATTTAAAATTATTGAAAAGATAAAATAATAATCTTTTATCATGTTTTATTTGTATTTAAGGAAAAGCTTAAAAATTATAAAAAAGATTAATATCTTTTTAGAATAAGATTATTCATTTCTATCCAAGTAAAAAAAATTATTTTTAACTCATAAAATTAAACTTACATATTTAATGATACCATTAAAAATTACATTTATAATTTAAATTAAACTTTTAAAAAAATAATTTTGATGAATAAATAAATTATCTTATCTTAATCTTTATATATATCAAATACAAAATTAAATAATATTATTTAATCTAATTTTATTCATAATATCATATTTTTTATCATATAATAATATTATGTAATAAATATGACTTAAATATATAAAATAGCCAACCGAAATTAAAATATGGACAAAAACTATGTCCATTTGAGAGCTGGATTGGAAAGCTCCCACAGCATCAAAGGCAAAATTTTACGGCTAGACCATAACGAGACAAATAGATTTTCTATATTCATGAGATGAGGTAGACCAAATGCGCCTGCTTGAATGTCATAAAAGGTACAAAAAGGAATTTTTTTTATAAAATAAACCAATAATTATTGACTGGGAATTCAGTGAATGGGAATAAATTAAGCATTTATTTCCTTGATGAATTAACCAGATTTCTTATAAGAAGCAAAACGATGAGAACTGAAGCATGGGGGACTACAATGGCATGTACTAGCATGTACCATCCATGTAATTTACCAACAGTTCTTGAACCATGCCTCTATCTGGCATACTTCCTGCTGCACCGTATATGGGCGCTAGACCTCCGCTTATCGGCCCCGGATTTTCTTTCACCTGAAACAAACATTTATAAACGAACCTGCTAACGATATAAACAAGTGCTCAGCATCATATCAAGCACCAATGGAACAAAAATTTCTCTAAAGAGACCAGTAAACATGCTTATGTGGATGATGAAGTGTTATGAGTTATAAACTGAACTTAGGGCGAGAATACTATTGCACAGAGAATGAATGGAAAAGATGACTTGGTATTTTCAAGTGAAAAACAGCTTACAGTTTGTACGGCGTCCCTCAAATCCTGTAGGAAGGTATCAACAACTGGTACATGTTGAAGAGTGACACAGATATGAATGCTGGTTCAACCACATGGAAGAAATGAATCAGTCTCCAAGAATAGGCAACGCTATTAAGGATAAAATATGAAATAGATTCTAAGTTTAAGACAAAATGAAAATGACCCCAGTCACTATTAAAGGCAGATAACAATCACCTATTGGGTCTCTGCAATGCATTCAAATGCCAACCTTTGCTAGAGATGATATCATTAACTTCAAATATGTCAAGAACAGCGGATCCAAATGCCACGATTGTCATGTCTGGCTTCCCAATGATAAACAACTCAGGGATCTCCTTTATCCTGCATTTAAAGTGGTTGTTATTCTCCATATTTTAAAATAAGAGAATTTAGTAGAGAATGTGAAACGAATTCCAACCCTTTCTGTATCATCTTTGATACTTCCATGATCTTTCTTGTATTTTCCAAGTAACCTGTGGGTTGTCAAGGAACAATAATCAGCCCAAAAACAGAGCACCTGAATAATCTAACAACAATGTAGGTGACCATTTCATAGCTTCAGGCATTGAAGACTAAAGAGGAATTTTGCCACCTGCTTGTCCCAGAGACATCATTGCTGCCCAAGCTCCAGCAATCAATCCTCCAGGCCTGCTTCCAGCTATAGTCGGAGAGACATAAAGCCCACCTGACCACTCGGTAACTGCCCATTTACAAAAACATAACAAACATAATTAAGCACAACGATATAGTAGAGAACTACCAAGGAATTTGTCACATGAACTAAGAATTAATTCAAGCATTCCGAGAATCATTTCTATGCAGCATCTGTTCTCTTTAAAAGTAATCCTCCCTGTTATACTAAACTAATGCTTCAAAGCCTCAAAACAGTCTCATCTTAAATGTTTTAAATGGCCTTATCAGAGATGGTATAAATAGAGTTAAACAATTCAACCCTAGAAGCAATATGACAGCCTCATTTTAAATGCTTGAAACAACCCTAAGCATTTTCTGTTCCCCTTCTTTTCCACCTCAAGTTTATTTATCTTTTGCTTTTTCCTTGATAATAGAGATTCTACTTACCAGCAACAAATTGATGCTGTTGGAGAACAATCACCCAATAAATCCAGCATAATTTTAGCAGCCACCAACCAAGATGCCATGAAAAGAAAAGCATATCATAAAGAACTTGATCAGAAGTGTTAAGAAAATATATTAGACAATTCTCATCTAGTTTTTGAGAAAGCAAATATGCATAGCCAAAAGGGAAAAGCAAAGCAAACGAAAATGGATAACATGCATTATATAAATTGTACACAAAATTTACAGTTGTCAGTGGAGACATACCTCAATCTCCAATTTAAGTTTTTACTTCAGCAACTACATAGAATCAAATAGTAGAGCCCAAACAATGTTCATTTTTTTTCAAGGAAAAATAATATTTACCTTTCTAATGTCATGATTTCTGTACAGAACCACACTTGTTCCTTTAGGAGCCAGCCCATATTTATGCACATCCACTGAAATTGAAGTTACTCCCATAACAGTGAAATCAAAGGATGTAATTGGGTACCTGAGAAGAAAAGGGGAAAAAATAATAACCAATCAAGTTTAGCCAACATTCACAAACAATGATATTCAGAACATATAATCCCTGTAATATGTTTTACTCCAGTTCAAAAACAAAACACTAAAATATTCAAATAAGCATTCATGTATCTGGCAATGAGTAAAAAACTCTCTAATCAGAATCTTATAGCATTTGATGGAAAAACACTACCTGTAATACATGCAAGGCATATGCTAATTAAGAAAAAAGTGGCAAAATGTAAATTGATGATGTCACAGTGAAACAACATATGAAGTGGTAGCCCCAATCACATAAAACGGTTTCCTAGTTGAAATGGCACCTAGTAGCTGGCCATACAGATTATACCATCAACATAATGGCATGAAACACTCAAATTGATAAATTCTTCATTCAAAGGGAAAAATGATGTCAATCAATTTGACAATATTTTTCCAGAGTAAAAATTTCATAGCACATTCAATTTAAGGCATAAGAAAGAAAATAAACAAATCCCCAACAAGGGAAAAACTCTCAACTGGTTCAGAATAGAGTGCATAACCTGTTATTCATTGATCACTAATACTACTAAAATCAGGCTGGCATCATTTTTTAAAAACTTTTTACCAATTACCTGAATAAACAGTTCCTTAATGAGGGAAACAGTGGCGGAGCCACATTGGAACCAGAGGGGGCCATGGCACCCCCAAGAAATTTCTAAATCCTCCAATACATATGTATATAATGAATATAATTTATAAATCTTCCTTATATAAAATAAAAATGGCCCCCTAAAAAGATAAAAAATTATTTTTTTATTATAAATGTTTAGAATATCGAAATTTTAGGTTAAAGTTTTATTGTATATGGATTTGTTTCAACTTTATATTGGCTTTATCCAGTTATGCTCTAATCTTTTGACTAGTTTATTTGTTTGATTATTCAGTTATATAATACTTTATTATGATTATAATTTATACTTGTAATTTCCAAAAATAAAATAAAATTTTAAGACAAAATAAAAATTCAAATCTCAAATTCCAATTAATTTATAAAAAGTATTAATATTTATAGTTTAATTTTTATTAAAAAATTAAAAAATAAATATATTAGTTAAATATGAGCTACATTCAAATGTCAAAACTATTCAAAGAAATTTAAGAAAAAAATAAAAAAAGTAAGATTAATAGAATAGAAAAAGATACAAATCTTATTCCCTAAAAATTTGAACTTGTATTAACTCTTATTCCCTAAAAGTTTGAACCCAACGTCAAGTCGCTATAGTTATTGTGACAAGTCTATTCTTGTCTTCTTAGAGACCAATTACAATGATGGTCTAAAAGGTGATTAAAACTTCTTTCATGATAACACCACTGCATCTTTGTCTTCTGAGTTTAAAGTTATTAATAGTAAATTATAAATTCTTTTTAATTTTAAATCTAAAAAAATTATCAAAATTTATTGAGAGAAAATCTTAATTTTATTCTCTACATTGAGAGAAAATTTGCTAAAACTTTCCAATCTATTGATTTTCTTTCTATGAAAGATTGTTATGCACACTTTTAAATAAAATTATTTTAGTTTCTTCTATTTTTAATAGTTATATATTTTTTATTTTAATATTTAAATTTTTTAGGTATCTTATTTACGGTTACATTATAAAATTGCCATATTTCATCTAAAGTTTTGATAATTGTGATAAAATAACAACATATTATATGCAACATGAAAATTTTTAAATTACAGTTGTTATTTAATTTGCCCCCTCCAACTTAAAATCTTGGATCTGCCACTGGAGGGAAACAGGTATCAAATCAACATTAGAGAACTGCAGGCCTTTAAAGAACAAGAACCAAACACAACATATGAGAACTGCAATTCTATTATTTTAGTCCATGCTGAAAAGAAAATAAATAATATAATCTAATACTACTTAGGGTTCAGCTGCACATACCCGAGTTTAGAAGCAAAAGGCAATACAAAGCCACCAAGACAAAGGTCAACATGGAAACAAATTCCATAGCTATAAGCCAATTTACCAAGCTCCTAATAAAGAAATGCATATCTTCTCAGTACGAACCCAAGTACATATAACATTAACAAATTAAATTTACAAGCTTTTCTTACCATGATGAAATAAGCAATAAGTAATGACATACCTCAATAGGGTCAATGATGCCATGAGGATACCCAGGCGCAGATCCAACAATCTGCAGTATCAGAAGATTAAAAACTTAATAACAAGGACCTCAAGCTGCATATAAAAATTCTGGAAACAATAAAGGCATGTATACCAAGATTGTGTTTCTGTTAATATGTTGCCTGATTGCTTTCACATCTGCTTGAAATTCCTTATTGACAGGTACACGACGCAGCTTGATGTTAAAATATTGTGCTGCCTTGTCATATGCTGAATGTGCAGATTCAGCTATTATCCTATGCTTTTGAATGGGATAATCAAATTAATAAAAATAGTGTTAATAATAATTAATGAATTATTTAAGTAAATGTCAGGAAATACATACATTTCTGGGCTTGTAATTCCCTTCTTCATTTTCATATAATCCCTAGATGTTTTCACAGCTAATAATATGCTCTCAGTTCCTCCTGATGTCATGTTTCCGCATACTTGTGCTCCAGAAGCCTTCTCTTTACTGCCAAGTAAATCAGCTGTCATAGCAACCACTTCAGCCTCAAATCGTGCCACACTCTGGAACACGTCCAAATGTAGCGGATTGGTATGTGCAAACCTGAAAATGGTCAACGGCATTTTTAAGGATGGGTTTTGAATTTGGCATGGGGCAGACCTGATGTCCTAGAAGTTAATATAATAGAAACAATAGAAATTTTTAAGCGCCACAAGAAAAAGTCTACAAGCACACTTTCTTGGAGAACCAAGATGGTGTCAAGTGATTCTATGCAACTTCCAATGATCAATAATTCTCTCAAAGGTGAAATTTAATAAACCAAATGAGTTTAAACTTTAAAGCATTACAAAAAATTAACAGACTAGAGATGATATTCTTAGGAATATAAAACAATGATAAATTTGTGGTTATCTTACTAACATTGAACATGCCTCGTTGATCAAAGCAAAATGTCCTTCAGATTCACTTCCACCAATATAGCTGGACCAAAGTAAACCCAGAACTTATCAAGCTCAAGCACAATTCAACAAAAACCACTATTTATATTTAATGCAGAAGAACATATATACATTGCTTCAAAGCCAAAAATAATAAACATACACTGTACCGGAGCATTTTCCTTTCCAATCAACATCCTTGCTCTTTTCATCTCTCATTTCCTCTATAACGCCTACTCCTAAACCTATGGTTGGCAACTCTGTCCTCCAGTGTTCTCTTTTGGATTTGCTACCAGATTGTAACTTATCCACAACCTGCATTGTTCAGCAGACCAGTAAATGTGCCAAATTATATTCATGTTAATTTTCAAGGCGGAAATATTTTAATCATTTAAGACAAAAGGTACTAATACCTGATTCAGTAAAACTTAAAATCCATAAACAAAATTTTAACAATAAAGTTCCATCTAGAGCAAATTTTACTATTCTAGCTCTAGAAGCAACAAGCAGAAAACAACAATTACAAGCTTTCTTTAATTTGGGCTATACTGAATAACTAAGCACCTCTAAACAGTTTCATCCATGTAGGGGAAAAATATAATGGTCAAATGAGTGTAAGAAGCACTTAGCTCCCATTGAAATCACTTGATAATAAACAAAACAACACCCTTGCTGGTGTCATTCAGACTTAGGCCATTCTAAATTACTTGTACAAAATTTGTTATCTCTCTTTGCCTCTTTAATGTTTAATGAAATCAGTACTCATGCTTAGTTTAAACAAATACAGTGTGTTTCCAATATTGAAAAACACCAAACAAGCAGACAAGTGCTACACTACCGTTTCACAACATTGAGAAAGGCCAAAATCCATAGTTTATGATGTCAAATAAATGCAACTGAATAAATCCAACGAAGTCTACGGTGCCAAAACATGCGAATCACAAACGCTTTTCATCAATCAGCAGGTCAGATCAGACGGTGAAAAAATGATCCATCGAATTCTCCTATTCAAAGACCCACAAACTATAGTAGTAACAGAGTAGCTGACAGATTTGAAATTTCTATTCAATCAGAAAAACAAAATAACAAAAGCATTGAATGCAACTCAATTGACGCTTATTAAATACTTCCAGTTATTCCTAATTCATTACTGTACATTCTGTCATTTATTGCCCAAACAAAAAAAAAAAAAGGAAGAAAAAACATTTTTCTGATGTCCTCAACGATTCAGAACTGACAATTAATCCACAGTACGAAGCATATATAAATGAATGTATAAAAGCTAAACATAAAATAAAATAAAATAAAACTGACTTAAATTATTAAAAAAAAAAAACAAGAAAAATAAAATTGAATATATCTAACCTTCTGTTTCTCCGCATCAATGTAACTCTTAACACCAGGTACCAGCCTGATTTTTTTTTTTGCAAAATGGAAAACAAACGAAATTAGTCAACGAAAATGAATAAATTCTCTCTGAAACTTTAATCTAATACAAAACAGTAAGTTTGATAAATTACTTGACGGAGCTCATGAACAATCCTAGTAGCGTAGCTTTGAGTCCTTTCTCGAGAATAAGGGAAAGAAACGACTGAAGCACACGCGCCACGAGGAGACTGAGAAGAGGGGCGAGCAGCAGAGCCAGAGGTTCAAATTGCGAAAGAAACGAATTGGCCGAAGCTCGAAAGCGAATTACGAATGAGTTGAACGAAAATGAAGAATAATCCATTTTTTTTCTGTTTATCTGTATGTTTGAGAGAGAGGAGCGAGGAAGCAGAAGGAGGCACAAGTTAAATAAAAGAATGTGAACGGGGAGACAAGAGGATATAGTAGAAGTTTTTAAAGATTGGACCTTTCTAATCGCGTGCAAGTTTTTAAGATTGGACCTTTCAAATCGCGTGCAGGATACGTCCCTTCTGCCATTTTTGTTTTTGGCGGGGTTGGTGTTGCGGACGGTGCCGTCGCTTTTGTTTATAATTATTATTGTTGGTCTAATAATCGAAATCAGGGATCGGATGAGTTTGTCTGATTTTAAAATTATGAGATTTATTTTATGTTTATTAAATTTAAATTTAATATTACAAAATTTTAAAATTAATATTTTATTACTTTTAAATGTATTTAAAAATAAAATAAAATAAAAATAAATATTTAATACTAAATTATTCTAACCAATCAGGATGAGATCGAATTTAAAATATCTTGTCTATACTCTAGTATGGATTGAATTAGCCCAGGGGCCTGGCAAACTACGTAGCCTGCGGAATATCTAATTGAGACACTTGACTTCTTTTTTTTTTTTACTTATTTGAATGAAGCATAAAATTATTATATAAATAGAAAAGTAAATCGACCGATTTATGAATAAGTTAATTCATTCATGAAAATAATGTTAAACTAGATTAATAAATTATTGTAATATTAGGTTAAACAAAAATGTTGGGATAAATAGTATTTGAAAATGTTAAAAATGTAAATTAACATGTTACTCTTGCAAATAATAAACAATAAATTAGATTTTATATCTTATAATTCTAGATTGATTGAATAAAAAAATAAAAAATTTTATATTAAATCATAATTTTGAAAATTTTAATACAATTCATTTTTATAAAAAATAATTTTTTATTTTTTAATTTTTATTTCACTTTTTATTATTTATATTTATGTCTTTTTTTATTTATCTCTAAAATATCATTTCCTCTAATTGATATAAAGATAAGTTTACATTTCATATATCCAAATCATTTCAAATGATAATTTCTCATTTTTTAAAATTTAAATTACCTTCATTTTTTAAATTTTTTTATTTTTTATTTTGTCTCTTATAATCTTACATGTTACTACGATATTCATAAAAAACTTTTATAATTAATACATATTTTTTCTTTATTTAGTGCCAATATTTATCATCTTTTCATAAAATTTAATGAAAATTATATATTAAATTATTTTTTAATTAATATTTTAACTAACCTTAACTAAAATCTATAATTATAAGCATCCATTAATAGTATCTAATAATATGTTTGCGATTAATTTGTGCTAACAAAAAAATAAGTTGCTTATCTTTACCAATAAAAGAAACCATCACTCAAATTCCAATTTTTAGGAAAAATATCCTTATCACACAATTATTTTGTTCCTTATAGTTAAACTTTCCTTATTTAATTATTTTCAAATTTTTTTTCCAAAACCATTTGTATATTAAATTATACTAATTTTATCACTTTTATTTGAATTATGTGTTTTTTCTTATATAACATATAATTATTGAATAAATTCAAAAAGAAATCGTTAATCCAATAGTAAAATGATATATTCAAAAATTAAATATTAAAATCAGATCAATTAATTGTGAGACCAAATAAAAAAGGTGTTAAGACAAATAACATATTTCTTTCATATTTATGCTTTAATTAGTTTTCTAGTGGAAGAGCGGGCTGGGCCCCTTGAATGGGCTTATCATAGAATATTTAGGCTAATGGCATATATGGTTGGGTTGGGCTGCAGGGCTCATCAAGATGTGGATCAAACACTAGCTGTTGGAAGAAGTATAAAGGCTAAGCCCGGATAGTTGTCTAGTAAGATGTGGGCTAAAAAATTATAGCATTTCTTTGTTTTTTGTTTTTTTTTTTTTGTTAACAGCTTGGTTTCCTATGTATAAGCCATCACGAATCACAAACTATATATTTTAAAAATTTTGCATGATTCTATATATAAAACAGGTATATTGAGTTGGTAAGGATCACATATTTTATTTAAAAAATTATGTTCCACCAATCCTCTAATAAACGATCTATAAATTCAATAAAATTTTTGTTACTTCGATATGTTTTAGACATAAATCCTCCTCTATTCACTTAAACTTTATTTTACCATATATATATATATATGTTTTTCTTTTGGGATATTAGTATATCTTTTGATTTACTTGAATTTTTTATTCAATATTAATTGTATGTATTTTTCGTTCGAGAAATTAGTTCGAACCTCACTTCTTTCAAAATATAGAAATATAAGTGTTACATCCCTCGTTGCTGCGAGTGTTTTCTTTTAATTATTTCAACATTGAAATATAGAAAAAAACAAGTTAGAGTACAATAATAATCATAATTTCTAAATTAATAACATAAAAAATTATATTTAAATAAGTATTATAATAAGAAAAAGTTGGTATATTATAGTTTAGTTTATTCTTTGTTTTGCTAGAGATTCTTTAGAGAAAAATCTAGAGGCAATATAACTTGTGTTGTTGAATCAGATAAACTACATAACATAGGTTTGATTCATGTATATTTATACTATTTAATAAATATATTAAACTTAAATTACATTAAAACACTAAATATATTTATCTACAATTAATTAAATTCGTGAATATCACATATTCATTAATCATAAATGATTAAGTTCATGGATAGTTAAATTCATTCATTTTGAATTTGATTCATAATTAATTAATAGTAAATATGAATTTAGACTCAAAATTTTAAATGACACGAAATATGAAGTATATTTATCTACAATTAATTGAGTTTATGAATGTCATAAATTATTAAATGTCTGAATTCATGAATAATCAAAGTATACATTAATGTTAGATTAAATGTTATTAAGTAAGCTTTAATGATATGTAAAAACAAAAAGAAGCTTATCGGACAAAACTTTTATGAAACTTTTTAAGTGAAGTTTATGAAATTACTCTTTAAAAATTATTTAATAAAAATTTTAATAAAAAATTCAAATCGATAAATTGATAAAATTCAATATGAAGATCAATAATATGTAAAAAAAATTAAAAATATTATTTATAATTCAAATTTAATTGATATTTATTCAATAGTAAAAATTCTGTCAACATTTTTTATTAAAAACATTTACTAAAAATATATATATAATTTTTTTAAAATTTTGTACACTTAATCTATGTAACAAGATTTTTCAATCTATTAATTTTGATTTTAGTTTTTATTTAATAGTTTATAATAGAGAACTTCAAGAATTTTACTTAAAAAACTTTTTCTCAATATTTTCCAATTTGATATGACAATTAAAAGAGAATTTAAGCGTGACAAAAATGAAGTTGACATGGCATGTCATAAAAATATACAACATGAGATAAAAAAATATGTATGTTAGATATAATAGCATTGTTGTGTTTATTATATACTTCATTCTAATATATTAATTGGTCATCCCTAACATTAAATTATAGAGTTTAACTTAGGTTAGGGTAATCTAAAAAAAGACTTTTTAGGCACCATTGAAAATAAACCACCTTATATTTTTGTAAAAATACACAATTAATTCCATACACTATTTAGTACCAAATTGATTCTTATCATTAAGATTTTTAACCCTAATCACCCTAAAATAATTAAAAAAAAAAAAAAGATGGCAACCTCCATCAAACATCTAAGGCATATTCTTCCACTAGTTCATTCCTCCATGTTCGTTGGTGGATTTCATTGCAAAGTACAAGACATAACTAGAACTAATTTTTCAATGTTTTCGAATAAATCATACAAGTTCACTTGGTCTATATGCACGAATAACCCTTTCTTTCTCTTTCTTGGAAAAAACTAATCGTACGAACCCAGTAGCAGTAGTTGAATCATATGTTGACCCTTTGTGATTTTAACTATAAAACAAGCTATGACCATAAGTTATATCAATTCAGTCAAATTAGCATATGATAAAATTCTATTACATGATCTATAAATGGACATTTAAAATATTACTTTCCTCTTGTTCATATATATTACATATTTGCTTACATATGATATGAACTTATCTCTCTGTTTTTTCGCTTTCGTTTTTGGCCTTTCAAGTCAAGAGGATAGACTAAGAATAATTAATGAAGACTTCTAACTTTCTACATCCACTGAAGACACCCAAGGAAGAGAATGGCAATATTGTGTAATTAATAAATCCGAGTTTAGTTCAGGTGGTTCATGCAATAGGTAGATTTTTTTTTCTTTTTATTTCCTTGTCTTTGTCTTTTGACATGGAAAATTTTCAGGGATTTTTTCCTAGTTCATCAACATTATCAGCGTCTTCCTTGTCATTGGACATGATGAATCTGCTTGGTTATGGTGAATTTCAAGGAGGCGGGGCTAATGGGTTGTTGGGATTATTGGCAGAGATGGAAGTTCCTGCCAGCTTGAACGTGCATAACAATTCTCATAACAAAAACATTCCTGAGAGCAACAGATTGGCCGGGCTGAAGCTGAAATGAAATTTGGCGAGAAGAAGGGAGACAAAAAGATAAGAAGCCAAGATATGCTTTTCAAGCGAGAAGCCAAGTTGATATAGTTGATGATGGCTATAAATGGAGAAAATATGGCCAAAAAGCTGTGAAGAATAACTAATTTCCAAGGTATGCAAAGCTCCCTTGGAAAACTTTCAGTTCATCTTTGTTTTGTTTCCTCCTTGTTTAGCCTCTCAAAAAAAATTTTTGGATGTTCACTTATAATATATATATATATATATATATATATAATTGTTAATAGATTTATCAATTTTGTCAACAAAAATAATATATAAAAAATTTTTGGAGGTGTTCAGGAAAAACCTTTTTAAAAATTTTTTTTTTAATTTTTAAAGATGTTCATAAATACTCTACTTATACGCCGTCCCTAATCAAAACATTAATGTCATAAATTGATAAGAAAAATTCTAGGTGTCAGTGGAAAACAAGTAGAATCTAGCATTCACTAGTTACGATTTGTGTTTACTTAAAACAAAATTAAACAATGTTTTATTTGATTTAATTATTCTTTGCAGAAGTTACCATCTCTATGTACACACCAAGGATTCAACGTCAAGAAACAGGTTCAAAGATTAACAAAGGATGAAGGAATCGTGGGAACAACTTACCAAGACATGCATTGTTGATAATTTAGAATATGGTATATTTCACATTTGATAGAAAGATTTAATTATTGAT